TATCTGATAACTCGGTGAGAATAGTTGGCAATTCATAAGTACGTTTGTTAATTCACATAAGTACTTAAGTATAGCATATTAAAAAAAAGAAACAAAATATGTAATGCTGGAGAATAATTAAAATTATGAAAACACGTATAAATTCAAATGGGAAATCAATTTTATTCCTAAGTTGATTGAAATCTCGGAAACTCTATGTTTCCTAGAGACATCAACCAAAAGCAACATATAGTTGCAATTATTTGTTCCACAATATCAAAACAATTATTCAACGAACTAACAATAAAGAAAAACCATCCAAGCAACATAAACATAAAAAAAAAACGTCTTCTAATTAACAAATCAAACATCTAGTTATTATTTCATCCTTCAGTAGGGAGTAAGTTTCCTTCCTCATCAACCTTCGCCTTGCCCTTCTTGCTCGTAACGGATTTAGCTTGTCCACCCTCGCGGTCAATAGCAAACCCGTCCATCAAATTGCGTTTTGCATTGGACGTATCACTAACTTGCTCAACATCACGAACCACCTTCAGCGGTGAAATAACTTCCTCTTCATCGTCGTCCTAATCAAAATTGTACAAAAAAATTCGAATTTAATATTTAACTTATATGTTACCTTATAAGTACATATATTTAATATTTATTTCTAAGTATTTATACTAACCTTAGTAGCTTCCTCCCTTTGTAAAAGGGTCAAAAAATCGGACTCCTATAAACAAAAAGCATTATAATAATTTTCAAATTACGATTGTATATCAAATTAATATTATTAAATTGTTAAAGATTAATGCAAACTTACATCATTCTCTACAACCCAATGGTTGTACTTGGAAACAAAATTTGAATCAACAATAACCCTTAACACGGAGAAGGCAGTTGAAAACGTATCATTGGGCTTGATTCGAACATTGAAAAGAAAGGTTCTCCCAACCAAGTCCTCAAGATCATTCGGAAGGTCAAAGGCAACTTTATTCTACAAAAAAAAAAAACAAATAATATTAGTTATAAAATAAGTTCATCTTGTAAGAAATAATTTAAACTCTATTGAATAAATAATAGTCACCTTCAACAAAGAAACTTCACGTTTTAGTATCTCACAAGACTTTCCAATCATCATTTCACACTCTCTATCCCAACATAGGAAAACACCACTTGCAGTGCAATCATGGACTCCAAATTGAATCTTGTACCTTTAAAACAACAAATAATATGATATTAAATATTATTAATGATATTGAGAAAATAAAAACTAAAACAATGAAGTTCCAACCGTGCAGTGCCACGTGTGTTGGTGCACTTGGTGCAATACATGTCACCATCTTCACAATTCATCTTGCTATTGCATCTTTTGCACGCAAGGTACCACCAATTATCAATAATAGAGTCGATTGAAGCACAAACCCAAGTATCCATAGCCTTCAAAATAAAACATTGTATTAGTTCTAATAAAAAATCGAGCAGAATAATAACATACAAAATCGATAGTTTAAGAATAAAATTGTAAAATATATATTATATTACCTCTTCAGTCTCGTGGAGAGAATCAACCGAGCTAACTATGACATCTCCATCCTCAAGTCCTTGAAATTCACTCTTAACAACTAAAGAGCTATTCGACCTAAGCTTCACACTTTTGAGTTTGGTAGTTGACATCCTATAAAAAAATATTTATATTAGATATAATCTATATAAATATAATATAAATATATATAAGAAAATTGTAAGACATAAATAAAAAATTATTTACTTTTCCAGAAAATCTTGAACTTCGGGAATATCGTGAACACCAATCAAATGTGTGACATCCTTTGAAGTAGTGACTTGAACTTCACCTATCGAACAACAGAACTAATAGATTAGCAATAGTCAATTTTTAAAATAACAATTAGATAATGTATATATTTTTTTTATTTTCGAGAATAAAAAAATTAAATTACCATTCCACGGTTTTGCACGACACATTTGCATGATCAAGACAAACGGCTCATTGGCTTCCACATAATAATTCTCGAAAGAAATAAATTGATCAACATACGCTCCCCAGACAGTACATGTCATGGTAAGTCCACTAAAAATAAGAAAATACATTTAATAAGATGGTAAAAAAAAAATTGATTGAAACTTTTAACGAAAAAATAAAAAAACGAACAAACTTACTCCAAATCCATAAGAGTGAAATTAATCATTTGTGTTGGGCCACCTTTCACATTTTTTATTTGAATTGGATGGGTCTCCACCACTAAGCCAATAACATCTACACATGATAAATTTTAGTAACATGTAATCATAATTAATAATTAAAATATAATTCATATAAAGTAAATTAAAACTTACCAAACAAAATTGCTTCGTCGATGTTGTCTATATCACGCAAAGTGATAAATTCTCTAAAAGAGAATCGAAACAGTGGAAATGAGCTCTTTAGTTTATAGAATTTTGTTCCCCTATGAAGAATGATCCGATATTTTCCAACTGTTGATTTGTAAGTGCCAATGTTACTTTCCACTTGATATTGATTGAAGGCATACGCTTCT